CTGGGGAAGATAGGCAAATAAACATGAAAATTCAATAGACTATGGCAAGTGCTTCAATAGGGTAATCCCTAGGTTCAATGGGAACGTGAAGGAGGGAGACATAACTTGGCTTATATAGGTGTGTGCGTGTGTTTGTGACGGGGGGTGTGGGGGGTGTGGGGGCGGAGTGTATAATGTTTAGGATGGGAACCGCCATAGAGTGAAGAAATAAGAGTATATGTACGGCAAGGAAGCAGCAGAGAGTACAGTCTGTTTTATTCAGGGTATCTCATTTAATCCCTACAACAACCCTATTAGGGATTTTTTGCCAGATGAGGAACCTGAGGCTCAGAGATGTCAAAGAATTTCTTTAACAGGCAGAAGCTGCTAGTACATTTCAGGTTGGGTTTGAAGTCCAGCTATATTCGACTCTACGGCAATGATCTTTCCACTACTACATGATATTCTTAACTGACATTTCTGAGACCAGATAAGCTTTTCAAAGGTCATTTTACCAAGTGACAATAACAATATCATTCAAAGTATAATCAGAGAAGACAGGTAGTAGGTATTTGCTCCTGGCTACTTCACTCTTGGCACTCTTTTAGCTTTGATGAAAACACCTGGCGTTCAAATTGGTGGAAGGTCAATGTATACTGGTACATATGATTTAATATACAGGAAGGCTTTCAGGTGAATGTCAGCTTGTGGGCTTAACTTTTTGGGAAAGCTTATATATATATATATGAAGAAAATTATAAGAAGTTATATATAGATATGTATAACTATAGGTATATAAAAATATTCTTTGTATGGATAAGCAAACATTGACAAAATTTTTTATTGAGACATAATATATACACCATAAAAGTTAACCCTTTTAAGTATACAATTCATTTTTTTTAGTTTTTAGTATATTTACAAAGTTGTGTATCACCACTGTCTAATTACAGAATGTTTTTATTACCCAAATGAGAAATTCATGTCAATTTAGCAATCACTCCCCATTCCTCTCTCTCCCCAAGCCCTGCCTACCACTGCCCTACTTTCTCACTCTATGGATTGGCTTACTCTGGACATTCCATACAAATGGAATCGTATAATATGTGGTTTGCTGATGTTTTCAAGGTTCATCCACGATGTAGCATGAATTGGTATTCTACTCCTTTTTATACCTGAATAATATTCCATTGTATGGATATACGATATTTTGTTTATCCATTCATCAGTTGATGGACATATGGGTTATTCCCACTTTTTTGGCTATTATGAGTAATGCTGCTATGAACATTTGTGTGTTAAGTGTTTGGGTAAACGTGTTTTCATTTCTCTTGGTTATATACCTAGGAAAATAATAGGTTATATACCTAGGTCATATAGCCACCCTATTTCTCAGTTTTGAGGAATTGCCAAATCGCTCTCCAATGTGGCTGGACTATTTTACATTCCCACCAGCAGTTATAAGGGTGCCAATTTCTCCACATCCTTATCAACACCTATTATTATCTGTTTTTCTTTTATTATAGCCATGCTCATAGGTATGAAATGGCAAAAAAATTCTTTCACTCAAACACTTATTAATTCAACATTTTACTGATGTGAAAATACTCCCTGGGGAAGGTGGTTTTATAAATATAATTGTATACGGTGTGAGAAATCAGTATGTATTTTGTACGCTAAACTAGGGAAGACACTAGACTGCATTACACAAAAAAATTCTAGTTAAGTCATTTAGAATGTGATGTTGATCTTTAAAATTGCTTTGAAAAGATTAAACTGCAAAGTCTACCTTTTTATGGATTCAAGACATTGTAGGTAACCAATGCCAACTCCAAATAGGAAATTAAAGCCTTAGCTTTTAGCTCCACCTGTTCTTATTTATTACCCAACACTTGAAAGTTACTTTCAGCACTATTACTCTCCCCCCATATTGAAAACTTAAAAAAACAACAGTTATCTCTGAGAAATTTGACAGCACTACGCTTAATAAATTGATAATTCTGTAAGTCAAATGATAATTCTAAAGGACTAATCTACTCCTACGTTGTTTGTACAATGAAAGAATCTGCTTCCAATCATCATGCCTGTGTAATAATTAATTTATTAAAGTGAACTGTGAAGATGCTGAAGAAACATCAGAGCTGCAGAAGCAGTTCCAGCAGTGAGGAACGGACCAGGACAAGAGCACAGCCTAACAGTCTCAGTCTCAGGTAATTCCCACTTTGTGTTTTGCTTATGTAACCTGTCACATTTTACTTTGCTGACTCAGACTTCTCATCTTATCCTCATAATATGAACATCTTATTTGAACTAAGTCATTATTATTCACATGTTAACAACCTTATGTTTGACATTCTAATTCAGCACAGTTACCTTAAGAGGTTTAATTTCCTATAAAGTTAAAAGTATAATCAGAATCTTCAAGAATCCTCACAATGATCTCATCCCAGGCCTCAATTTAGCTAGGTCACGCTACATTTGTAACTGCGTTTTCAGTTTTCATAAGACTCACCCATATATCACATACTACTTTAAAAAACAGTAATATAAAGTCCTAGAATTAATTTTATTTGCTCTTATGGAATACACTACAACAGATTAAAAAAAATTTTTTTTGTATGTTTTTATACATTTTTGAGGGGGAGAGAGAGAGAGAGAGACAGAGAGAGAGACAGAGAGACAGAACATGAGTGGGGGGGAAAGGGCAGAGAAAGAGAGGGAGACACAGAGTCCAAAGCAGGCTCCAAGCTCTGAGCTGTCAGCACAGAGCCCAATGCGGGGCTTGAACTGATGAACATGAGATCATGACCTGAGCTGAAGTTGGACGCTTAAACAACTGAGCCACCCAGGTGCCCCTACAACAGATTTTTAAGCTGGACATATGAGGAGAAGAATGGTGAAAAGGTGAAAACCACCTATTAAATAGGGAGCTCCGAACCTGCTGACCCCTAGGAAGTGCCCTCAGGCCCTGGCCAATTCACCCCAAGCAGCACGGCAAATTCTGCAATCCTGAGAAATAACTGTGGGAGAGAGGAGCGTGGCAGTCAATCCTCAGAAATGGGAGAATGAATTTAAACAAAAGCACTGTCTAAAATACTGAGTAACAAGAGGTTTTTATAACAGTATTTACATGAGCAGACTTAACATACACACTACGGTGAAGGTTTTGCTCATTATACTCCGATGTATTAAGCCAAGAAGTGTATATGACTTATTCCCAACTCTAGCAACAAGGTTATCATTGGGTAAAATGGTGAAGGACCTATGTAATTATTAACCTTTTATTTAAACTCAGTTTTTATTTTTCAACAAGAAGCAACAACTGATCTTTGAATTTTGTCCACAAAATGTTCATGGCTATCCCGATATTAAAAGTGGATATTGATTTGGAATCATTATCTAATCTCATTTGATAGATAGCCATTCTAAGGCAAAATATCCAAAATAGATTGTATTCAGTCATGAGGTTCCTATAATCACCAGGACCAGGAAGTGGTCCTTCCATTAAGAAATTTTGAAAGCTTGTTCAATCTGGAGGGAAGGCGGAGCAACCGTTGAGGCAAGCATCTGTCTGCGTGCCAGAGGACAGCTGTGTGCAGAGAAAGAGTA